AGCGTTTCGTTTCCTACGACCACCCGGTTGGTCGACCGAAGACAAAGTGACGTGGTAGAGTCGTGGTGTTCCCATTTTATCAAATGGCTGGTTCTGAATTTGTGGAAGTTCTAGTTGGTGTTGGTTCTGCTCGTATTAGAGATTTGTTCAAGAGAGCCAAGGTGAGCATAATACATAGTCAATGAACCATGTGATTTTCCCGTTTTTATGTTTTGAAGAAAGCCCTGATTCTTGCCACAGGTGAATAGACCATCAGTTATCTTCATCGACGAAATCGATGCACTCGCAACAAGGTATAGGTTGTTTGTCTAAATGAATAATGGTGCATGTGTGTAACTTCTACTGATTTTGCTTATTATAAACCATGGTTTGCTCATCCCATGGATATTCTGGAGTTGAGCATCTGGGTGTTTCTCCTATCGTAGCCCCTTTTTAGCTAGTGGCAGAACTATTAAAATTGGATTTTTGAACCTGAATATATTAATTTCATTTTGTGGACGATGCTAATCAGTTCTGTGGCTGTCTAGATATTATTTTTTCGAAGAAATAGTCATTGTTGTACTTAAAAGACCTGTAGACATGTGCAGTGGTTATAGTTTCTGAAAATATTATTCTAATAAACAGGCGTCAAGGAATATTTAGTGAATCAACTGACCACCTCTATAATGCGGCAACTCAAGAAAGGGAAACTACTCTGAACCAGTTATTGATTGAGCTTGATGGATTTGATACTGGTAAAGGCGTTATATTCTTGGGAGCCACAAATCGAAGGGATTTATTAGATCCTGCCCTTCTTCGTCCTGGTAGATTTGATCGCAAGGTTTGTATCTCCTATTGAATTAGATTCTTTATTGTCTCAGCTCCTCATGGTTTGAATCGCTCTATTTGTGGTTCTCTGTGTATGCACTTATGTTGGTTGTGAGGAGGCAGACAACTTTTTCCATATTTATAGAAGGCTTCTATTCATAATTTCTCGACTTCTTATATAGATGTTTCCATATGCTGGATAAAAAGGAGTATGATAAAAACTAATCAAACCAAAAAAAAAAAACTTGAAGTGCTATGATTCCTTATCAAACTGGAACACGGTATGTGATGCCTAGCAGTACCTTACAAAGTCCTTCGGAGGGTCCCCCCGACTCGTTTGGGTCGTTTTGTAAT